TTGATCAAAACTATTCAGTTCAAAGAATAAGACATCACTTTAAAAAAATTTAATTTAACTCGCTTATGCTAAGCATTCAAAAGTATTGAAGTTATTTATCAATTACTGAATTATAATCAGGTAGCGTATATCTTAGTGTTGTGCTCTTTAAGCTCAAACATTTAAAAGGGGAGCTGTTATTGTCATTGTCATCTAAGACAACAACTACGGAGATAAATAAATTATCAGTGAGACCATAATTTATGGACTACCTTTGAACGACGTTGAAGTGACCTTGAGTGTCCACCTCCTCGCTAAAGCTAAAAGAGGTACAACCCTGTGTGGATAAAGAGGACCATGATTTACAGTTGATGGTTAAGGTTAAGAATTAGATTTACGGTTTTCATCACGAACTGACATCAGCTTAAACCCCTAAACTCTTTCTAACCAAATACATGAGTGAGTTTCGCGCCGAAATTCGAGACCTGTTATCTTATATCTGATTGGTTCGTCCATAAATTATAGTCTCGCTTGGAGTCCCTCTGGGGGCTACTGCCGGTCCCAAGCCCGGATAAAAGAGGAGGGTTGGGCATGGGGTTAGCGTCCCCACCCCGTAGAAAACTAACTCGCTAAAAAAGCGCTAACTAGAAAAAATTATTCAAACCTTTTAAACTCTGTCCTGGGAGTCAGAAGGTCTTCATTTAGAAGAACTATGACGCCTCATGATGAAAGCCGAATTCCTTCGGAAGTCACGAGGCCGATGCCCCTTCTGACAACCAGAGCGACCATTTATTTAGGTACATGGAATGTTCGTACAATGTGGGACACCGGGAGAGCCTTCCAAATTGCTGCAGAAATGAGAAGATACAACCTAGAGGTACTTGGGATCAGTGAAACACATTGGACGCAAGTGGGACAACGACGACTAACTTCAGGAGAGCTTCTGTTATACTCCGGCCACGAAGAAGAAAATGCCCCACGTACACAAGGAGTTGCATTGATGCTGTCCAAACAAGCACAAAATGCACTTATAGGATGGGAATCTCATGGACCAAGGATCATCAAAGCCTCGTTCAAAACAAAAAAGGAGGGCATTACAATGAATATCATCCAATGCTATGCGCCTACCAACGACTACAATGAAGACGCTAAAGATCAATTCTACAATAGGCTGCAGTCAATCGTCGAGAAGTGCCAAACAAAGGACCTGACCATTCTGATGGGAGATTTCAACGCCAAGGTTGGAACGGACAACACTGGATATGAAGACATCATGGGACGACATGGACAGGGAGAAAGAAACGAAAATGGTGAGAGATTCGCAAACCTATGTGCCTTCAATAAACTGGTCATAGGTGGCATCATATTCCCACATAAACGCATTCACAAAACCACATGGACGTCACCGGATCACACCACGCAAAACCAAATCGACCATATTTGCATCAACAAAACGTTCAGGAGGACTATAGAGGACGTGAGAATCAAGAGAGGAGCTGATATAGCATCAGATCATCACTTGCTGGTCGCCAAGATGAAATTGAAACTCAAGAAGCACTGGACAATGGGGCGGACAATTTCACAAAAGTTCAATACGGCCTTTCTTCAGTATACTAACAAACTCAACAAATTCAAGATAGTCCTCAGCAACAAGTTCCAGGCCTTTCATGATCTACTCAATGGAGAAGGAACTACTGTGGAGAGCAACTGGAAGGGGATCAAAGAGGCAATCACTTCAACATGTTATGAGGTCCTGGGTCACAAGAAGCACCATCACAAGGAATGGATCACTGTTGATACACTGGATAAGATTCAAGAAAGAAGGAACAAGGCAGCAATCAATACCAGTCGAACAAGAGCAGAAAAAGCCAAGGCATCAGCTGAATACACAGTAGTAAACAAACAAGTGAAGAGGAGTATCAGAATCGACAAACGTAAATATGTGGAAGATCTAGCAAAGACGGCGGAAAAGGCTGCAAGAGAAGGGAACATGAGACAACTGTATGACATTACAAAGAAAATCTCTGGAAATCGCTGCAAACCAGAACGACCAGTGAAATGCACGGAAGGCGAGATAATCACCAACACTGAAGAGCAACAAAACAGGTGGGTAGAACACTTCAAAGAACTCTTGAATCGACCAGCTCCACTGAACACACCCAACATCGAAGCAGCACCCACCTCCCAATCGACGTTGGCCCACCAACAATTGAAGAAATCAACATGGCCATCAGACAAATCAAGAGTGGCAAAGCAGCAGAACCGGACAACATTCCAGCAGAAGCACTAAAAGCAGACGTAGCGGCAACTGCAAGGATACTCCACATTCTCTTTAATAAGATTTGGGATGAAGAACAAGTACCAAAAGACTGGAAAGAAGGACTCCTGATCAAAATACCGAAGAAAGGCGATCTTAGCAACTGTGATAACTACAGGGGCATCACTGTTCTTTCAATACCGGGAAAAGTCTTCAACAGAGTATTGTTAAACAGGATGAAGGACTGCGTAGACGCCCAACTTCGTGACCAACAGGCAGGATTCCGTAAGGATAGATCGTGTACAGACCAAATCGCAACTCCACAGATCATTGTGGAACAATCAATTGAATGGAATTCATCACTCTACATCAACTTCATTGACTACGAAAAGGCATTTGATAGCGTGGACAGAACAACACTATGGAAACTTCTTCGACACTACGGCGTGCCTCAAAAGATAGTCAATATCATACAGAGTTCATATGATGGATTACACTGCAAAATCGTGCATGGAGGACAGTTGACAAAGTCGTTCGAAGTGAAGACCGGTGTTAGGCAAGGTTGCTTACTCTCACTCTTTCTCTTTCTCCTGGTGATCGACTGGATCATGAAGACGTCAACATCTGAAGGGAAGCACGGGATACAATGGACATCTAAGATGCAGTTGGACGATCTGGACTTCGCAGATGATCTGGCCCTTCTATCCCAAACGCAACAACAAATGCAGGGGAAGAAAAACAGTGTAGCAGCAGTAGGTCTCAATGTACACAAAGGGAAGAGCAAGGTTCTCCGATACAACACAGCATGCACCGATCCAATCACAATTGACGGAGAAGATTTGGAAGATGTAAAAACCTTTACATATTTGGGCAGTATCATTGATGAACACGGAAGATCTGATGCAGATGTGAAGGCGCAGATCGGCAAAGCAAGAGCAGTATATTTACAACTGAGGAACATCTGGAACTCAAAGCAACAGTCAACCAACACCAAGGTCAGGATTTTCAATACAAATGTCAAGATATTTCTACTGTATGGGGCGGAAACCTGGAGAACTACGAAAGCCATCATCCAGAAGATACAGGTGTTTATTAACAGTTGTCTACGCAAAATACTTCAAATCCGTTGGCCGGACACTATTAGCAACAACGTACTGTGGGAGAGAACAAACCAGATCCCAGCGGAGGGAGAAATCAGGAAGTGGATAGGACACACATTGAGGAAAGCACCCAACTGCGTCACAAGACAAGCTCTCACATGGAATCCTCAAGGCCAAAGGAAAAGAGGAAGACCAAATAACAGATTACGCCGAGAAATGGAAATAGAAATGAAAAAGATGAACGAGAATTGGATGGAATTAGAAAAGGAGGCCCAGGACAGAGTGGGTTGGAGAATGCTGGTCGGCGGCCTATGCTCCATTAGGAGTAACAGGCGTAAGTAAGTAAATTATCTACTAATTTACTGTATGTCCACTAGCTACACTGAGCATATATATATATATATATATATATATATATATATATATATATATATATATATATATATATATATATATATATATATATACATATACATATATATATACCGTGAACCGATTGATGTTAGACCACCATTGAAAACCTGGAAGCACTCGACGGCCGTCTCGACCTATTGTGCGACTCCTCAGCAGTGCGCAACCACGATCCCCCTTCCAGGATTCGAACCCAGGGCCTTCAGTCTTGCGCGCGAACGCCTAGCTTACTAGACTACTGAGCTGGCACCCAATGGTGTTAATGTCTAACCTCTCGGAGTTCTGGTGAGAAGCTGTGACCAGTGGGGCTAATCCATGTCAGGTAGAAACAGGTATCTACTTCACTACAATGGAAGATGGTCGCGCAATTTCGTGTATTGGTTGAGGTTAGACATTAACACAGTTGGATGCCGGCTCAGTGGTCCAGTAGGTTAGGCGTTCGCGCGCAAGACTGAAGGCCCTAGGTCCGAATCCCGCGAGCAGGGTCGCGGATGCGCACTGTTGAGGAGTACCACAATAGGACGAGACGGCCGTCGAGTGCTTCCAGGTTTTCAATGGTGGTCTAACATCAATCGGTTCATGATCGTAATCAAAACTTAACAATTTCCACAACCCCTATACTGAAATATGTAATTATTCAACTGTGTCCGCGGGGTACAGATTGGATTGGAACATGTTCCGTCCAGGACTGTATTAAGGGACACTGATTGACTATTTCTTAACCAATCAGTACTAGTCAATACTTGAGAAAACTCTAGGAACTTCTTATGTAAAAATTATAAATATATTAAGGTTTTTCTTATTGTGATTCCTACTTCTACCCAACCTTGTTATGTGGAATATAATTACGTTCCTATCCAACCGTGTTCTGATTTGGGGACTTGTCGAGTGAAGAAGTGTCCAAAAATACTAAGCAATGAGAGCAGCTGAGTAGTAATAGAAACCATAACAAATTGTAATGATCATAGTTGATTACTTTTAACAACTGGCTTAAACAGATTACATAATTTAATGAGAAAAAAAGAGAGCGTAAAAGATCTAAACAATTTGATCGGTAAACAAATGAACTAAACTAAGTGGTTGTAAAGCATTATCGACTAAAATATTTAGAATTTATGTATGAGATATATGTCAGCATCTATTTTAGGACACTATGCTAACTAACATAAGTTGGAAGGTTCTATGCTACATGTAACTAAATGACTGAGTTGAAAAGAACGGAAGCAAATATATGAAGTATAATACCCACTTACATCTGCTTCGATTGCTTGAAAGTATTCCAGTTCAATTAAAGTGACTTGTTGCTATAAAAGATAGAAAGAAATGAATTAATTAAAACAAATGTTAAACTAATTAAATGTCGATGATTAAAAAAAATATTGAACTACGTTAGATGGCTAGAGGAAGTCAACAAGAAACGTTTTAAATATCCAACATACTATATGAGATGTTGATTTACTTCAACTCATGATCACATTACAACGTGATCAATAAAATTTGATCAGCACTAAATAGGACCAAACAGATATAGAATTAGTCACTATTTACTGATCCATCAACTGTATATAATGAACCATAAATGAACAGATTACAAGTTCCAAAGTCATATTTTGCATACATGGATTTGTATGATCGGATTGAATATTCCATAAAATGAAGGAATTTAATGTCAAATGTATGATCTTATGCTGTAACTGCTCAATAATAGAAAAAAAATTTCAGTTGTTTTTAGCAATAACCGAACACTATCGATAAAGTAAGAATATAATAACTGTGCTGAGTGCATTATAATTCTACCTTAAATGGTTGGCGGCAGTCAGTAGGATACCCTGCGCCTAGGTTTCGTGATAATTGACACTCATTGTCAAGGGAATTTACAATCTTTAGGGACTGGATGTTACCAATGGGACTCGAACATGAGAAAAACAGTTTAACAGTCTGTGGTGTAAACACTAAGGACTTGACAAATATGACATTTAAATAAAGCAAGAACAAATATTGATGCAGAATAGTATGAATTCATATTATTTCGAGGTTTCTCGTCAGCTGCTTACAAACCAAAAAATGTGATAGAATTTTTACATGGAGATAGAGTGAAAACAATTGACATAAATGAGTGTAAATAACTGGGTTACAATAATAACTATATATATATATATATATGCTAGAAATAGGTCAGAGGTCAAAAGAAGGGGGTTAATCCAGGTTGGGTGGTGTAATAATGCAATTGAATAATCATAAGATAGGTTACGTAATAATAATTAAATAGAATATGAAAAGTTAAGATAATTTAGGAAGATCAGGTGGTGGAAATGCGTAAATAATAATGTGGTTTAAGAATTATGTAATAGGGGAGGAATATAAATATTTTAAAATAAATAAAAATAAAATAATAATAATAATAATAATAAAGGGTTACCAGGGTAGTGATAAGCTAATTAACGTCTCTTTTTGAATGCATAAGTCAGGTTTAAGTTTTTTGATCATAATAGCTTCAGCAAAACGGAGGCTGGTCGTATTTCTTTGTCTATTGATAACTTTGAATGCATGAGGAATGTCGATGGTGTGTCCGGTGTCAATTAGGTGTCGAGCTATTGCACTGTTGAAAGCCCTGGTCCCACGCAGCCTCAAGTTTTTTGGAACGTGCTCAGAAATGCGGACATGCACTCTTCTCTCAGTTCTTCCAATGTATGTGCTTTGGCACGTACATGTAAATTGGTAGATGCAGTTGGAGCTACTAAGAAAAGAGGGCTTGTCGATTTTGGTTTGTTGAAGTGAGCAGTTCGTTTGCCATACTGTCATAAGTTTTGCTGCTGGGTAGGTGACTTTCAACGCAGAGTTTATTCTTTGATTGATTATTCCAGCGATTTCATCACCTTTGAAACGTAAGTGTAAAAAACAGGTTTTTCTTTCTACTCCATCGTATTTTGTATGAGGATTGATTTTGGAATATTTCTGGATAAATTTCAATGGATATTCATTATCGCGTAGAACATTAGTAATCAGATTAATTTCATCATTAAGGTATTCTTTTGAACAGATTTTTTGAGCGCGGTCAAAAAGGGTTCGTACAATACCTTTTTTGTAACTCATGGGGCAGAAACTGTGGTAATTGAGATAAAGACCACTCCAGGTATTTTTATGGTGAATATGTCTATGTAATTTACCATCAGATGTTCGTCGGATCCCAACATCGAGGAAATGGAATTTGTCTTCAGCTTCTTGTTCCATAGTAAACTCTATGTCCTCGTGTGCTTTATTAAATAGATCGAGTAGCTTAATGGCGTGGTCGTGATTGTTGCAGACGAGGAATGTGTCATCAATATATCTGCAATACAGTGTAGTACCATCGATTACGTGCTTAAGTTTTTTTTGTTCTAGGTTTCCCATAAATATATCGGCAAGAATCGGGCCCAATGGGCTACCCATGGCAACTCCATCGATTTGGCGGTAGAGGACATTATTGAATTGAAATTGTATGTTTTTTGTACATAAGAAGAGAAGCTGTTTAAAATCATGGATTGGTAGGGGTAGAAGTTCAGGATAATCACATATGATCTCTATCGTTTCTTCCAAGGGGATGTTTGTGAAGAGCGATGAGACGTCAAATGAAACCATAAATTTATCGGAAACATTTAGGTTGTCGAGTTTTTGTACAAATTCAAAACTATCTTTTAGACTGTAAGGAGTTAGTTTCTTTCGTATTGGTTCAAGGCACTTTGTCAGCCAGCGGGCGAGTTTATGGAAAGGTGAATTGGCCATGGATAATATTGGTCTAATCGGGATATTGGGCTTGTGAGTTTTGGGTAGGCCGTATAAGTACGGTAATTGTGATCCTTTAGGTTTAAGTTCATTGTATGTATGATTATCTATTAGATTTCTCTTTAGGAGATCTCTCAATTTATTTACAAGTCGCTTCTCTGTTGTCTCTGTTAAATCCTTCTGGGTATTATCGATGATAAATCTAGTGGAATCATTTAAAGTAGACATTATTTTACTAATATATTCGTCTCTGTTAAGAACGACTACGCCGGAACCTTTATCTGGACGAAGTAGCATTATTGTTTCATCTTTAACAAGTTTTTTTAAAGCTAGTTGGTGATCTTTAGTCAACACTTTCGATTGTGGGGTTGGTGTCGTTATGTACTGGTTTGTAATGTCAACTAGTTTCGATTTCAACCAACTATGTTTTTCATCGTTCATGGGTTTCAGTTCTGACAACTGTTGATATAAATACTCAAACTGGGTTTCAGTGTCTATTCTGTTACATTTTTTCGGAATGTGAAATTTAAATCCAAGGGAGAGTGCTTCAGTTTCAATTCGAGTTAGTTTTTTACTGGATAAATTGTGTACGTATTTTTCTGGATTCGTAGAAAAGGCGTTATGTTTTTGTTCTTTCACAAGTGATTTGGTTAATGTCTTTAGGAATTTATGACTGGTTTTGGACTGAACATCGTGAATGAAATTCATGAGTTTGATTCTACATACAATGTTTAGATCCATAATAATTTTGTCATAACTGAGTGATTCTGTTTTAAGTTTTGAGATAAGTTCCTTGGTACATTCAATTTGAGATTTTGTGACGCGTCGAAGATTTTTCAAGGAAGGAGGTATTTTGCAAGCTCGGACAGCTTTGATAATATGACGAGGAAAGCAGCCATCATTCAAGCAACGTAACAGAAACTTTAATCTTGTCGTTTCTCTCGATATCCTGCAACGAACTGCCACCAAACGGTTAAGTGACTTAAAAATGTGGTCAGGGAGACGGCTTTTTAAAAATTTCATGCAATTGGTTCCCTTTATGAATTTAAATAAAGCAAGAACAAATATTGATGCAGAATAGTATGAATTCATATTATTTCGAGGTTTCTCGTCAGCTGCTTACAAACCAAAAAATGTGATAGAATTTTTACATGGAGATAGAGTGAAAACAATTGACATAAATGAGTGGTTTGTAAGCAGCTGACGAGAAACCTCGAAATAATATGAATTCATACTATTCTGCATCAATATTTGTTCTTGCTTTATTTAAATTCATAAAGGGAACCAATTGCATGAAATTTTTAAAAAGCCGTCTCCCTGACCACATTTTTAAGTCACTTAACCGTTTGGTGGCAGTTCGTTGCAGGATATCGAGAGAAACGACAAGATTAAAGTTTCTGTTACGTTGCTTGAATGATGGCTGCTTTCCTCGTCATATTATCAAAGCTGTCCGAGCTTGCAAAATACCTCCTTCCTTGAAAAATCTTCGACGCGTCACAAAATCTCAAATTGAATGTACCAAGGAACTTATCTCAAAACTTAAAACAGAATCACTCAGTTATGACAAAATTATTATGGATCTAAACATTGTATGTAGAATCAAACTCATGAATTTCATTCACGATGTTCAGTCCAAAACCAGTCATAAATTCCTAAAGACATTAACCAAATCACTTGTGAAAGAACAAAAACATAACGCCTTTTCTACGAATCCAGAAAAATACGTACACAATTTATCCAGTAAAAAACTAACTCGAATTGAAACTGAAGCACTCTCCCTTGGATTTAAATTTCACATTCCGAAAAAATGTAACAGAATAGACACTGAAACCCAGTTTGAGTATTTATATCAACAGTTGTCAGAACTGAAACCCATGAACGATGAAAAACATAGTTGGTTGAAATCGAAACTAGTTGACATTACAAACCAGTACATAACGACACCAACCCCACAATCGAAAGTGTTGACTAAAGATCACCAACTAGCTTTAAAAAAACTTGTTAAAGATGAAACAATAATGCTACTTCGTCCAGATAAAGGTTCCGGCGTAGTCGTTCTTAACAGAGACGAATATATTAGTAAAATAATGTCTACTTTAAATGATTCCACTAGATTTATCATCGATAATACCCAGAAGGATTTAACAGAGACAACAGAGAAGCGACTTGTAAATAAATTGAGAGATCTCCTAAAGAGAAATCTAATAGATAATCATACATACAATGAACTTAAACCTAAAGGATCACAATTACCGTACTTATACGGCCTACCCAAAACTCACAAGCCCAATATCCCGATTAGACCAATATTATCCATGGCCAATTCACCTTTCCATAAACTCGCCCGCTGGCTGACAAAGTGCCTTGAACCAATACGAAAGAAACTAACTCCTTACAGTCTAAAAGATAGTTTTGAATTTGTACAAAAACTCGACAACCTAAATGTTTCCGATAAATTTATGGTTTCATTTGACGTCTCATCGCTCTTCACAAACATCCCCTTGGAAGAAACGATAGAGATCATATGTGATTATCCTGAACTTCTACCCCTACCAATCCATGATTTTAAACAGCTTCTCTTCTTATGTACAAAAAACATACAATTTCAATTCAATAATGTCCTCTACCGCCAAATCGATGGAGTTGCCATGGGTAGCCCATTGGGCCCGATTCTTGCCGATATATTTATGGGAAACCTAGAACAAAAAAAACTTAAGCACGTAATCGATGGTACTACACTGTATTGCAGATATATTGATGACACATTCCTCGTCTGCAACAATCACGACCACGCCATTAAGCTACTCGATCTATTTAATAAAGCACACGAGGACATAGAGTTTACTATGGAACAAGAAGCTGAAGACAAATTCCATTTCCTCGATGTTGGGATCCGACGAACATCTGATGGTAAATTACATAGACATATTCACCATAAAAATACCTGGAGTGGTCTTTATCTCAATTACCACAGTTTCTGCCCCATGAGTTACAAAAAAGGTATTGTACGAACCCTTTTTGACCGCGCTCAAAAAATCTGTTCAAAAGAATACCTTAATGATGAAATTAATCTGATTACTAATGTTCTACGCGATAATGAATATCCATTGAAATTTATCCAGAAATATTCCAAAATCAATCCTCATACAAAATACGATGGAGTAGAAAGAAAAACCTGTTTTTTACACTTACGTTTCAAAGGTGATGAAATCGCTGGAATAATCAATCAAAGAATAAACTCTGCGTTGAAAGTCACCTACCCAGCAGCAAAACTTATGACAGTATGGCAAACGAACTGCTCACTTCAACAAACCAAAATCGACAAGCCCTCTTTTCTTAGTAGCTCCAACTGCATCTACCAATTTACATGTACGTGCCAAAGCACATACATTGGAAGAACTGAGAGAAGAGTGCATGTCCGCATTTCTGAGCACGTTCCAAAAAACTTGAGGCTGCGTGGGACCAGGGCTTTCAACAGTGCAATAGCTCGACACCTAATTGACACCGGACACACCATCGACATTCCTCATGCATTCAAAGTTATCAATAGACAAAGAAATACGACCAGCCTCCGTTTTGCTGAAGCTATTATGATCAAAAAACTTAAACCTGACTTATGCATTCAAAAAGAGACGTTAATTAGCTTATCACTACCCTGGTAACCCTTTATTATTATTATTATTATTATTTTATTTTTATTTATTTTAAAATATTTATATTCCTCCCCTATTACATAATTCTTAAACCACATTATTATTTACGCATTTCCACCACCTGATCTTCCTAAATTATCTTAACTTTTCATATTCTATTTAATTATTATTACGTAACCTATCTTATGATTATTCAATTGCATTATTACACCACCCAACCTGGATTAACCCCCTTCTTTTGACCTCTGACCTATTTCTAGCATATATATATATATATAGTTATTATTGTAACCCAGTTATTTACACTCATTTATGTCAATTGTTTTCACTCTATCTCCATGTAAAAATTCTATCACATTTTTTGGTTTGTAAGCAGCTGACGAGAAACCTCGAAATAATATGAATTCATACTATTCTGCATCAATATTTGTTCTTGCTTTATTTAAATTCATAAAGGGAACCAATTGCATGAAATATGACATTGGTCACTATCAAGTTATCACTCGATATGACTGTCTTAATCGTACACGAGGTCGAGGAAGACCTTAATACATCAGTAGTAGCATCTCGGACAGTGAAGTTTGACGAAGTAGATTGGAGTTCCACAGGGAGCACCAGCTCCCCTAAGCTCCCATGTACCCGTTACTAACGCTCGGCAATTATTACAAAACTTGGGTTCTGTTTAACTACGTACAGACAAGCCTAGCATACCGAACATAGTTTTTATTTATTTATTTCAACACATAGATATTGGTACGAGGAGGCACCAAATAAATATGCGCCACACAAATCTCATTCGATATGCGTGAGGGCTGTGATACTGTCCGGGTGCCCAGACCGAAGCAGGTGGTTTTCTTAGGGGGCCACACCCCTAGCTTTTAATAAGGAGTGTAACCATAGAATACAAAGTAGGAAATACTTTTAACACATAAGTTTTAGAAGATGAAGAATGAATCTCCCTAGGTCGCTGTGACCAATTTTCAGATATCTAAAGTTAAAGACAAATGAATACAGTCATTTAGTGGACCCTAACCAGTAAACGTGAGTCACAATACTTAGATAAAACCAACATTCAACAATAACATAGATAAGCCAATCTTAACCTTCTTTTCACTTACTGATTACCACTATACAATCAGTTAGTTGGCTGTGGATGTGTGGTACATGTCACAAACACATCAGTCAATGGAAGTTCACAACCTCGTCTACTAAGTGATACACTTATTTTATGATATGTCGACACCCATCTTACACTACAAGTGAAGCACCTCAGTGAATATCAAGTATGCTTTTATAAACCGTACTGATAAATTCTCAGCCAATGACCTGATAAGGTTGACGAAGCTTGAAAGATAAGTTTATTAGTCAATCAGTTAGACTTTCTATGTTCAGAAAATCAAAATAACGATCGTAGTAGTGCATATTCAGTTTCCAAACTCAAACAATAGGAGTTTGATTTTGTCGTGAACCTGTTATCGTTGTAACACTATGTCATGAATCATAATCGGTTCAATCAGTCAGCTACAAAGTAGGACCAGGCACAATGAAACGCTCCAACGGATAAAATATGAAACAATGGCTTACTGAATAAATAAGAACATTGATGAAAAATGTCATATGAAAATGATCTATAATACTCATGCCTAGTTATTAGCAGTTACATGGAAAAGAAAAAACAACAACGTACAGCAATTAATTCAGGATCAACTTTTAAATGTTTTTCATAACGACTTCTACCAACATCTAGTGTATCATAACTTTTACGTACAATTTTCATGACATTTGGAACAGTTGAAGATTTACTTCGATGTGATTTATTGTTTGTTATTATCTTCGATATGTTTGATGTGGCTCTTTGATTTGAAGTATTTGGTTGCGGGAAAATGGAATCCAGTGAACTCTGAAAAAAAACGGGATGCATAAAGTGGTAAAGATTTAAAAAAAACTAACAAATAAGTGAACTTTGAAAGGAAGGGTAGAATAAATTGAACAATTATTTCTTTCTAATTGGGTTCACTTAACAGTAAAATCTGGTTCATGATTAAACCTATAGTGATTAATTAAATGAAAAAATCACACATATTTTTTTGGTATCAGAAGGGGTTTTGTGGGTGTTGTAGTAATTTCAATAGTTGAAGTCATGAGTCTAGATTCAATTGACTCATGATCTCAACTATTGAAATGACTACAACAACTACAGAACCCTTTCTGATACTAATCAACATATGCTCACTAGTGACTGGCTTCAAGAGGTATTTCCTGGAGTTCTAGTGAGAGACAGTGATCAGTGGATTTCAACCGGGTCAGTTGTGAGATAGTTACTCACTGATGACAATGGTGGATTTGTCGCTCAGTTTCGCGGATTATTTGAAGTTAGACATTAACACCGTTGGATGCCGGCTCAATGGTCCAGTGGTTAAGCGCTCGAGCACGAGACTGATAGGTCCTGGGTTCGAATCCCGCGAAGCGGGATCGTGGATACGCACTGATGAGGAGTTCCATACTAGGACGAAACGGCCGTCCAGTGCTTCCACATTTTCTTTGGTGGTCCAACTTCAGTTGACTCATGATCTCAACCATTGAATTTATTTGTTTTTATAAACTGCTACAGTATGTAAAGGTCTTGAGTGGCTGAGTAGTATCCAAGCCTTCACAAAAATCGAATGATGAAGTGTGACGTATATGTAATCGGTGCCTCCCTTGTACCAATATTTATGTGTTCAAATAAATGAATAGAATAAATATGTAAATGATGTATAGAATCTCAATGTATAATAATGCAGAAATATGCTGAATGAATCAATTATATGTGACGTAACATCTAGTTTAAGTGTACAGTGATTTTCGACCGGACATTGAAAATTGGTACCAAGCAAGTATCATCAAGTAATTAGTTATCTTTTTGGAAGCTATAGTCTCAATATTGTTTGTTATATTAACATTTTCTTCTAGTCTTACATAGATTCAGAATGAATGAAAATGAATTTGATTAGACGATTACAACAACTTAACTAGAAAGTACTATAGTAAGTAAAGTGATTTTAGGCAAGGATGTAGAAGTTCAAACGAATCAATAATTTAGTAGTTTAATTACACATGCTCTTAACTATTGTTTATTCATTTAGTTCACATAAAATCTGGTACAACTAGGTACCACAAATAGTATGTTTTACATAAATAATATTTATATATGGGGCAAGATATTGCTCAGTAGCTCAAACAGAAATAAGTTTATCAGAAAAGGTTTTGTGGAGATTTTAGAAATTTCAATAGTTGAAATCAGGAGTCAATTGAAGCTAGACCACCATGGAAAATATAGAAGCACTAAACGGGGTGAGACTGATAGGTCCTGAGTTCGAATCTCGCGGAGGGCGGAATTGTGGATTCACACTACTGAGGAGTCTCATACTAGGACGAAACGGCCGTCCAGTGCTTCCAGGTTTTCCATGGTGGTCTACTGTCAATTGACTCATGATTTCAACTATAGAAATAAGTTTCCTTAAAGCGCTACTCTCCCTGGGCCTTTGACTTAATTTCACACTGTACAGGAGCTAAACCAGAAGACGCCGTCTCGTGGTAGCCAGTAGCTAAAAAATAGATTTACACAACATTCGTCCCACCACCAGGATCATGGAAACCATATACATCACTGGTTTACAGTTAGTGTTTTCTAGATCTTCTATATCTACGATCCCGGTCTAAGCACCAAACGTTCGCTGTGTATCCTCTCATTTCCCAAAACACCACCTTTACATGAAAACAGTGAGTAGATAGAGGCTATGGTTGTATAGCGCCATTAAATAATCTCGAGAAGAAACGACTTCCTTTCCTTGACAGTATTAGGACATTTAAGGATGTGCATTTGCTTCCCGACCGTTGTTGCTACCTTGACGTTGTGGTCAGGCTTGCCTATCGTGATGAAGCAACCGAGCTATACTGGCTGAAGCAACCGTTCCTCAAGGTCCTACCATGTCAGACAGGTCGGTTGAAGAGCGGTAAGACATTCTTAACATGTCTTTAATTTTAAAAACTTTGCACAGTTTTTTTGGTTTTTTAAATTTATTTTTAAAAAAAAAAACTTTTTTTATTTCTTTTTGTATTTGCTACTGCCTTTTTGTTCGTTTTTCAGTAAGTAACTTGTTGAAATACCCTGTGCTGAGAATTCTATATTGTACCAAAATATAATATTGAATAAAGCCATTAATTAATAATAATAAAATAATAATAATAAAGCAACAAACCCAAGGTTCGAAGGCGAAGTCGTACTGCTGACTGTACAGAAGTGTGACAGCGGTAAAGTGTTTCCTTCAGACAACCAGCATGACAGCGATGCTGCCTTCCCACAAGGAGGGGTGGGGTTAGAAAAGGTCGACCCTAAAAATGAACACCTCGCCTTATCCCACGCATATCCGTCTCCGGTGGTAAGGTCTCAACAAGTACGGAGCTAACACAAACATTACCCATAAAAAGGTCGTGTGTGACCGACCTCAAGCAGTTGTCACTTGGACACTGCGGTCACGCTCTAAGGTCACTAAGACCACCTCTAATCCAATTTTCTTTTCAGGTACCTTCATTTGCTTATTGTACATGCATACAATCTTATATATTTTGTCATATGTTATGCCACCCTGAGTTATGTCATAAACGCATTACTGGACAGATAAGCGTAGTAGTACAATGATTACTAATTAATTAAGGACTATGATATTGTTAATAGCAAAAATATAGATATAAAGGAATTTCTTAGAGAAACATCAAACATTTTAATTCTGTTATTAGAATACATATATAGATAGAAAACGAAAACCTTAACAGAAATATAGATTTTGAGACTGAAACATCCTGTGACAAATAGGTCAAATAATAACAGAGGAAATGTTCAAATAGACATTAAGATTATTAACGACGTTAACAAGTTAAAATACATTGTAAATTTGTACACACACATACATACAAGTAGAAAAGTAACACAAATGTGTTTTCTGACTAAGTAATGGTGATTATAGTAAAAAAAAGATAAGTGACTACATGAACTAAGCTGATTTTACCAACATATTTAACTGGAACCTGTTCATTATCTAATGATATCAGTGGTTTTATTTTCTTTGATATGGTTTATTATAGAATTTTTGTGTATACTGTTGAGTCGGCTTTCGAGAACTACAACGGGGCCTCTAGAGACTCTAATGAAGCCGATGAGTTTCTATCCAGTCAGAACATGATGGAGCTTTTTAGAAATATTAACGTGGCATTCTATGATTAGACAGTAGCCTAATATGTTCAATGTTTTAGTAAGACTGTTGCTCAAAACAGATTTAGTTTCTGTCTACTTAGCATCATAGAAGTTTTCACCAAACATACTATTGATTGTCACTATGAAGGTATATATTTTGCAATTGTATAGCATTGAGAATGAATTCACTAAGAAGAGAATTATAGGCTGAACCAATCATTCTTGTTTTTACGTCTCACTATTTCGTTTATACCCACACAAAAATCACATGCAAGTGTTTGTGTATGAAGTTGTGAGATACACCTTTCATGTATGGAATAGCAATAACGATATTTGAACCTTGGTATTTGGAATACATAATGTTGAAACTATGAAAAGCTTTATCGAGTCAACCATAACCAATATAAGATCTGGCACATATATACCTTGGTTGAACCTTTCACAACATATTAATATAGCAGTTACAGTGGTACCAGTATCTGAAAAGAATGGACTATACGGTTTTAGAAAAATGAATCGGTAAAGTGTACAACAATTTCGAAACTCATGATCTAAGCGAGGACCAATATGGCTGAATTTGTGGTCGGACATTTTGAATGATTAGGTTTACAATTGTTTGTAGTGAAGCAGAGGCATTTACTCTTTATCTTACACCTGATCATGAATTTTAGTTTTCCTTGACACATACCTTCATGGACCATATTTTTAAATACTTCGTCTTCAGCAATATTATTGCTGCTTACTTACACCTGTTACTCCTCGTGGAGGAGCATAGACCGCCCCACCAGCACTCTCCATCCAATCCTGTCCTTGACAATCCTTTGAGCTTCTTTCAGTTGTTATTCATCCTTTTCATATCTGCTTCCATTTCCCGACGTAATATGTTCTGTAGTTATTTATTTAAACACATAAACATTGGTACAAGGAAGCACCAAATAGATATGCGCCACACAAATCATTCGATTTGTGTGAGGGCTGTGATACTGTCTGGGTGCCCAAACCGAAGCAGGTGGTTTTCTTAAAACGCCACATCCGGAGCCCGCAATCTAACGGTCTAATCTACAGGACAGTGGAGCAACGTCATAAGATGTAGTGCCCTTGGTAGTCGGTGACCAATGATTGGTTCATATATCGTTTCTTCCTTCATGATCCTGGAGCCAACCCATGTGCACCATTGGTTTGGAATTAGGGTTTACCAACTCCCCTAGGTGGGCTCTCCGTATCCACTAACCCGGTTAAAGCACCGGACATTTTCTTTTAGTCCTCTCGATTTCGTAAACAACAGTAATGCCAGGAGAAGGCAGTGATTAGGAATTCCCTGACAGTGGTTATATGCACGTGGCCATGTAAGAGCAGTTGGAGATGGAAAGTTAACCTCCCCCCCCGCTCCCGGTTGTACCAGGGCATTGAGGGGGTGGCCAATGTGTTCTTTGACCTTCCTCTTTTTCGCTTCCCTTCAGGATCTGTGTTGGGGCTTGCCTCATGATGTAATTTGGTGATCATTGCTACTATATTAATGAAAATCTCTATTGCTATTCATGTTATCAAGTTAATCTGGTATGAAAATTTAAGCCAACACACATCTATAACACACTTCACATTAATAATGAGTTTAGCTTATACAGAATTTATTGATGATGCATTTGAAACGCAATCTATTGCCGAAT